CTACCTTCTCTACCTTCTCTACCTTCTCTACCTTCTCTACCTTCTCTACCTTCTCTACCTTCTCTACCTTCTCTACCTTCTCTACCTTCTCTACCAACCCTCTCACCTATCCCCTCTCACCTATCCCCTCTCACCTATCCCCTCTTACCTTTCCCCTTACCTATCCCCTCTTACCTTTCCCCTTACCTATCCCCTCTTACCTTTCCTCTTACCTATCCCCTCTTACCTTTCCTCTTACCTATCCCCTTTTACCTATCCCCCCTCTCTCCTTATCCCATCATCAGCAACATCAACCATGTCCTGGTAGGGCGGCGGGCGGGCATGGGTCTCACCACTTCCACGTAATATATATCTCTCTTCTACCTCTGCTGGCTCCGACCTCCTCCAGCCACCTATTTCTTCCCTTCTGCTGGTTCCGTCCCCAATCAGCTTCCCCTCTTCTACTCTTCTTTCTCGCCATCACATGCCTTGGTTGGGCGAATCATCGGTTGGGACGGGCATGGCTGACTCTCTTCTACTCCGCGCATTGACAATCCTTATTTCCTTTCTTCTTCTAACCACCTCCTGCACTCTAACTCCCGCAATCTTCTGTCAGTCGACATGTTCTTTCTATCCGCCTACCTTCGCAGGAGGTGGGTTGTATTATTTTCTCTCTCAAGGAAGTTTATCTTCCTCTATTCTCTCTCCTTTCTCTACTCTTTTATCAAGTCCTCTCCTCTCTAGGCCTCTCCTCTCTATTTTCTTCCTCTCTATCCTCTTCCTCTCTATCCTCTTCCTCTCTACCCTCTTCCTCTCTCTTCCTTTACTATTGATCAACCAAAAAGGCCTGGGTTGGTGGGCGGGAAAGGCCTGAGGTTGATCAAGGCTTGAGGACCAACCTACTAACCAAAAACATCTCAAACTTCAAACTCACGACAGCGTCGACATAGCAACCTACATACACGCCCCGAGTCAATCCTCAGATGAAGAAACAGTGTCAGGTAAGTCTTCATTCCTATAGACGCTAGATATCCATAAGCTAACTTCAGCAGTGTAAAATCCAAATCCACAACCGGGCTGCCAACCCGGTGACGCCATCATCTGAGAATCAACAACTCCGGCTGTTTGTACTCTACTTTACGCTACGCTCTTCGCTGTTCATCAGCTGCTCAAATCCACTACGACGATCCTCGGCACAACCGCAGAAGCTCTATCAACAACCAAAGCAGACACGGGGATGGTGTCAGTGGTCGCCAACTGCCACACCCAGGCCGCCAACCTGGCGACACCAGTGTTCTGTCTAAGGTTACTCACTATGGTACCATTAGGGCCTCTGTGGCTATCTCAACTCCACCCGATGCCGGGGATCGTCTGAGCAGTTCAAATAACAAACAAAATCAACGTAGGAAGGTCCTCATTCCTCGATTTCTCCACCAAAAAACAACAACCAACAGCCAAAACTACAAAAAAAAAAAAAAAAAAAAAAAAAAAAACTCCACTGTAGCAGACGTGCTACAAAACCACAACCACGTATCATCTCATGCTCATGCTCAGGCGGGATGGAGGAACGAGCATGGGCATGAGCTCTGATACACCAAACCCCCCCAAAACATCTCCCACTCCGACTCCCTCAATACCGGTTTCTTCCAACGGTTTCTTCCAACTCCGTTCAAAAAAAAAAAAAAAAAAAA